ACTATTCGATGGGATTAATTTCTTATTATTATATAAATTTGGACTAATACATATCTTCTGTTCAAGGTATCATGTTGTTTCCAACTGACTGGTTGTTGGTGTTAATCAAATTTGTTCATTTTGTTCTAATGATATAGCTTTCAATGGACATATTACAATAGTGTGTAAAGGTAGGGAGGTCAAACGAAATTATGTAAATGGTGTGTACTACACTGTTATACAAGCAAATTCAACAAATCTTGTACAAACGTTTGTCCTGATACGTTTCGTATCAACAATGAAATGATATGTACTGGGAGATGACTTTCTTATGACTAACATTGATGCTTTATAAACAAACAGCCATTAAGATCTGATAATACTGTTCGGACCACACCATTCAAATAAGTAGACGAGATATTTTACGAACATATTTGTCTTAGAAAAAAAAGGATATTCGTATTTGGTTACAGAATATCTTATATGGTAGATGATGATTCATTTTGTTCTCAGTCTTAGGCTGTAGTTGATTTCGGAAGTTGTTTTTTTAGTTTAAACTGACTGACTTATGATGAATTTCAATCATCAAGGCAAAATTATCACGAACTGTCCCCCCCCCCAAGTACTCACATAATGTATGTGAGTACGTACATAAACTGATGTAAAGTAATGATTATGTAATGGTTGTCAGAATCAGTCAGTCAGTAACAACGTAGAACTTCGTACGTACGTACATCAGCTCGAGTTGCCACACCACCTTAGCACAGAGATGCAGTTGTCGATTCAAATCCCGTAGTGGTAGAGTCAGTAAAAGTATAAGCAGTAATAGGGAAGATTAGGGTTTGGAAATGTTATTTAAAGAGTATAATCCAGTGAAATAAATTTGGAAAGAGAAAAAAGAAAGGGACATGAAGAATTCAGAAGATTAGAATCTGGGAGAACACAAAGAGTGAATGCACCTGCACCATTGCAAACGATTTTGAGCCATGTCATTCAGGGTCTCTAACCCAGAATAATATCTGAATATTTGAAGTAAAACATACTTCAAAATCATAAGTATGTCAGAGCTGGATATTTTAAGTATGAATCAATTTATTCATCAGTTTTATTAAAAGTTATCTCTTATGTATCAGTGTTCATTAACTTTATGTGCATTTTCTTTTCTCTTTTTGCTATTTTGCTAGTTGAATGTAGCAATTACATTTTACAAATTAGGATTTATTATTACAGAACATAAACTACATCAAATTAATGATGACGATGATGAGAATGTTACCATTGAAGAATCTAATGTAGATAATGTCAATGTATCTAATTCACATCATGATTCTAAATCTGAGATAGACAAAGTGCTGAAACATCGTTCATCATTAGTCAAGAATATTAAAGGTGCAAAAATTAATTGTGGATTGATCGGTTTAGAGGAAGTTAAAGGTGACCAGTGTCCGATTGATGATAATGACGAAGACAACTTAACTGATGATGATGACAACGACGATTGTATCATAACTGAAAATTAAGAAAAATGATTTTTTTTATGTATAGAAGGAGTTGTACATTTTTCGATTGCTGTATATTCAAAACGAAAAGTTGAACAACGAGTACATCTCATTAAAGAATAAATATTATACTATCATGATAAATACTTGCTTCTTTTTTGTTCAACAAACTTTCTACAGTATAACGATCTATTTACAACTGGTAATTGAAATCAAGAGAACGATTATTATTAGCTTTATTCAATAAAATATTTTTGGTACAAAATAGAATTCTCAGGACAAAGTATTTCAACAAGTTTCCGTTTCTTTCTTCTTGGTCGGTCCTGGAGATAAATATTGAGTGACTGCCAGTGAGATGTTAGCAGTTCAGTAAATGAACATCTGAATAATGTGCATTCTTTTCGCTATATATTGCCAGCAACCACATTGTCTCTTATTGAGCTTTTTGTAACTTTGACAACGAATGGTTGTACACTTTTCAAAAATGCACCAGGATAGCTTATGCGATTAATAGACATAATGATATATTAAAACAAACAAAAATAGATAACTTGTTGAAATATCTAGATGGCAGTAACAGGTAGACCATATGCATTATAATAGTGCGTTTAGATACTGAAAATCATTCAGCTACATCAATTCTGAGCCATGTGACCCAGGGTCCCCAACCAAGTAGTTTGCATCTACCAACATGACTAAGACTAGAAGTTAGTGACTTGAAAGACTGATGCTACGTTTTGATTTGGCCGCCCCTAACTTTCTTTCAATCATCCTCAACATTAGTCATACCTCTAGCAGCACTCAAGGATATTAAGATCGTCTTCCTTTGATATCGAGGCACCTACCTTGGTTTAACAATTAATTCTGTTGCTAGTAAGTATCGAATCGAGCTAGCTTCTAGGCTAGCTACCATTCCACCGAAAAGTATAGATGAGCATCGGTTGCCATTGCATGACGCCATGAAAATGACGGGTACAGTCAGTTGTGGGTTCGCGAAACGTCCCGCTTATAAGCACTGGGTTTCTGCGGGTTCCTTACAACTCATTGAAGCCCGTCGGTCTACTCCGGGTGACCGTGAGTTTGACCATAAACGAAGGATGTTGCGTACTGAAATTGGGCAAACCTTGCGTAAGGACCGAGAAGCCTGGTGGTCGAAGCGTGCTAATGAGCTGGAAGCAGCAGCTGCATTTGGTAATTACCGGAAGCTCTTCCAACTCATCCGAGCCACTGGCAGCAAGAAGTCTGGTGTGAGTGAAACAATCTGCGAGGATGATGGGATGCCAATCACTAACATCCATCGACGTCTTGGACGGTGGGCAGAATTTTTCGAAGGGCAGTTCAACTGGCCTGCTGCTCCGGCAACATCGGTCAGACTGTCCTGCCCTCCATGGCCGGTGACGACTGATCCACCAAACGAGGAGGAAGCCCGCAACGAACTCCAACTCTTGAAGCGTTACAAATCACCTGGCCCAGATGACTTACCTCCGGCTCTTTTTAAAGATGGTGGTGACTTTCTGACTAAGGAATTGACGACGTTGTTTACAAAGGTTTGGGAGCTAGAGAGTGTACCAACGTCATGGAATGAGTCGATAGTTGTCCCTTTCTTTAAAAAGGATTCACGTCGTTGCTGTAACAACTATCGTGGGATAAGTCTACTTCCGATTGCGTCCAAGCTATTGGCTCCCGTCATACTTCGTAGGTTGTTCAAAACCCGAGAAAGATTGACTCGCGAGGAGTAGGCTGGGTTTCGTTCTGGTCGAGGATGTATTGATCATATCTTCACCCTCCGCCAAATGTTAGAACATCGCCATACTTATCAAAGGCCAACAATCGTAGTGTTTCTTGACATCAGGGCTGTTCTCTGGGATTGTCTATTGAAGAAGGGTGTGCCTGAGAAGTTTATTAACATCCTAAAAGCCCTATATAAAAACACCTCAGGCAGAGTGAGGGCATACAACCACCTCTCACCATTGTTCCATTCGAGCAGTGGGGTTAGGCAGGGTTGCCCAATCTCACCATTCCTCTTCAACTTTGCCATCGATGACATTCTGGAAACAGCTCTGATGAATGTAAGTAATGGTGGTGTGGATCTGTTGCCTGGAGAAAGACTTCTCGATTTTGAGTATGCGGACGATATTGTCTTACTGTGCGATAATGCCCAAGGCATGCAATCCGCACTTGATCAGTTGGCAATCAGTGTCCGTAGGTATGGTATGTGCTTTGCACCTTCGAAGTGCAAAGTACTTATACAAGACTGGCAGGATTGTAATCCTGTACTCACCCTGGATGGTGAGCAGATAGAAGTAGTCGAGAAGTTCGTGTATCTGGGTAGCTGCATAAGTGCTGGTGGGGGTGTGAGTGATGAGATCAATGCACGTATAGTGAAAGCCAGAGCGGCTTATGCCAATCTGGGCCACCTTTGGCACCTTCGTGATGTTAGTCTGGCTGTAAATGGTCGGATCTACAACGCGTCGGTGAGAGCAGTTTTGCTCTATGCTTGTGAAACCTGGTCTCTCCGAGTTGACGACGTTAGACGACTCTCTGTGTTCGATCATCGTTGTCTCCGAAGGATTGGTGACATTCAATGGCAACACCATGTCAGTAATGCAGAGGTTCGGCATCGTGTGTTCGGGCACAGAGATGATAATTCAATTGGTGTCACCATCTTGAAACACCGACTTCGGTGGCTTGGACATGTTCTCGGAATGTCGTCCCAGAGAATTCCACGTCGTGCATTATTTGCCGACTCTGAGACTGGTTGGAAGAAGCGGAGAGGTGGTCAGTGCATGACATGGTGTCGTGGCATGAAAGAAAGCTGCAAAGGACTGGCTTGTGTTGGTCCTTCACGGCTCCCTGGTTGGGGTCTGAGAGATGGTGCTACACAGTGGCTAGAGACGTTATCAGATATGGCTCAGAATAGAAGCCGATGGCGATCCAGCTGTAACGTTCTTCCTTAACTGAAAGATTTCTTCTGATTGTACCTTTTCCCCCTCATTTTTACCATTATTACTACACCACCTTACACGAATCTCTTCGTTATTGTTCTCTGTTTTTGCGCTCTTTACCTTTTTTTCTCTTCGAATTCTTATTATTTTGTGTGACGCATATATATTGGCGCTCTCTTGTACCAATATTTATGTGTTCAAACAAATAAACAAACTAATTTAACAACTGCACTGTAAAACTTTTCACGCAAATTGGCTGTTCCCTAAAGGTATGTGAAGTGAACTTATTTAAATAGCTTACTGTTAAAGCGAATATTAATATTCAGTTACAACCATTCTCATATTATTAGAGGTGTGTTTGAATTCTTAACATGTGTTGTTGTTGCTGAGACGCTCTGTAGGTCGGAAATATTAATGTTCGGAAAGTTGGCTTATAAATTATTGCAGTCAATGGAATTTTGTTGAAATGATAACATTCTTTCAATTAGTAGTTTTTACAAAGCACTAAATCTTGGAAAATCCTTTATTTTGGAAAGACGATTTTTTTCTTTACATAGTCAGTTTAAATAGATAACAGTCAAAGAAACACTTCGAGATCTAAATCTAAAGCTGAACAAGGCATCGTCAATTCAAAATTTCGTATGACATCAGGATGGAGAATACCCAATCGTCCAATAATTTTATTGTCAGGCTCCAATATAATATCAGCACAACGACCATCAAAGTATGTTGGATCTAGAATAAAAATGTTAAATATACAATGATTAGAATATGTAGACAATTTCAGTATAATAAATATATCTTTTTCTTAAATCCCAATGTGTAGAAAGTGGTATTTCCGACGTTTCGTGACTTAATGTAAGTCACTTCTTCAAAGTAGATAAGTAATCGAAATAAATTCGATTCGTATTGTTTTAGGACTGCAATTGATCAGTCTCTTATTGGCATACGTGCATAGTGTGCGTATTGCCTTAATTCACAATCATTATAGGCAAAGATGGATATTAGCTAGTAGTGGAGTCCAGGACGAGCGTTTCGTCCTATTTGAGACTCGAACACAGTGCCGTTCGCTTCAAACGCCATCACATGTTTGACCTTCTACCCAATGCTCAATCTATTTAAAACTATCAAGTCAAACCTTAGCACTGATACCTACAAACACATTAATTTTCGGTACATTGGCCGAAAGCAGTTAACAGTATCTTAAGTAGCTATCGTAATTATGGTTTAGCATCACTTAATAATCATGCATATCAAATATGGTGTAATTTATTTATTAAGCACCAATTCACGTAACTACACTGTGAGGGTTGATAATGCTGTTTACCTGACTGGATGAAGTAGGTGGGATAGGGTTTTAACCTGCATCTTATTACTGGAAATTGAAATACCAATGTCATGAGACATCACTTCAAATTGTGTGTTGTGTGTATATCAACATAATTTGATTGACATGTTTCACCGGGTAAATCAATAGTTCAATGTATATCTTCTCAAACAAGTTCAGAAACATGACTTTGCCCAACTTGTGATTAGTGTATAATAGAGTTAGAAGGAGAATAAATACATAAATTGTAATATAAATAGTATATTCACTGTATACTAGAGTAAAGTATCATTAAGATCTAGTTTAAAACAGCACAGTTCGCTACAATATATTAGTCATTTCGGTTGACTGGATGTACAATGTCCTTCTTATTAACATTACTACAATTATTTTGACCCATTACAGTCAGTCAGTGTACTGTTACCGGTATGAGGGCTGATATCACTTCTTGGCTGCCCACAACGTCGAAGGGTATTTTAGTGAGGAACCTAAAAAGGGAGTTGGATTAATATTGGTCTTAACGAGCTGAGAGTGACCTCAAAGCCCAAAGGATACCTGCTTGAGGTCGGTTGCGCACGACCTTTTTGTGGGAGGGTTTTAACTTGTTAGCTCCGTTCTTCAAAAGGCCTTACCACTGTAGACAGAAATCCATGAGGTATGACATTTTTAGGGTTGAGCTTTCTAACCCCTTCCATCGTTGTGCGAAAGCAGCATCGCTGCAGATGCTGGTTGTCCGAGGGAAACTGCTACTATTGGTCAGTAGCATATGTCCTTTAGCGGATTGGCCAAAATATGTTGATTTAACAAATGTTAACATCTATAACTACCCATGTTTTCTATACAAAAATAAACCTTTGGAGTAAAGTGTTTTCGCTTATTTTGCGCCTTTTCTCTCGAGTTTAGGTCGCTGCGTAGTTCTAGCTTTATTTATTTATTTGAACACATAAAAATTGGTACAAGAGAGCGCCAATATATATATATATGCGCCACACAAAACAATGAGAATTCGAAGAGAAATAGAAAAAAAGAGAACAATAACGAAGAGATTGGTGTAAGGTAATGTGCTAGTAATCAGGGAACGCAAAGGTACAATCGGAAGAAATCTTTCAGGTAAGGGAGACACAACCACCTTTTATGAAGAAAGTAAAAGAAGATTACAGCAGGATCGCCATCGGCTTCTATTCTGAGCCATATCTGATAACGTCTCTAGCCACTGTGTAGCACCATCTCGCAGACCCCAACCAGGGAGCCGTGAAGGACCAACACAAGCCAGTCCTTTGCAGCTTTCTTTCATGCCACGACACCATGTCATGCACTGACCACCTCTCCGCTTCTTCCAACCAGTCTCAGAGTCGGCAAATAATGCACGACGTGGAATTCTCTGGGACGACATTCCGAGAACATGTCCAAGCCACCGAAGTCGGTGTTTCAAGATGGTGACACCAATTGAATTATCATCTCTGTGCCCGAACACACGATGCCGAACCTCTGCATTACTGACATGGTGTTGCCACTGAATGTCACCAATCCTTCGGAGACAACGATGATCGAACACAGAGAGTCGTCTAACGTCGTCAACTCGGAGAGACCAGGTTTCACAAGCATAGAGCAAAACTGCTCTCACCGACGCGTTGTAGATCCGACCATTTACAGCCAGACTAACATCACGAAGGTGCCAAAGGTGGCCCAGATTGGCATAAGCCGCTCTGGCTTTCACTATACGTGCATTGATCTCATCACTCACACCCCCACCAGCACTTATGCAGCTACCCAGATACACGAACTTCTCGACTACTTCTATCTGCTCACCATCCAGGGTGAGTACAGGATTACAATCCTGCCAGTCTTGTATAAGTACTTTGCACTTCGAAGGTGCAAAGCACATACCATACCTACGGACACTGATTGCCAACTGATCAAGTGCGGATTGCATGCCTTGGGCATTATCGCACAGTAAGACAATATCGTCCGCATACTCAAAATCGAGAAGTCTTTCTCCAGGCAACAGATCCACACCACCATTACTTACATTCATCAGAGCTGTTTCCAGAATGTCATCGATGGCAAAGTTGAAGAGGAATGGTGAGATTGGGCAACCCTGCCTAACCCCACTGCTCGAATGGAACAATGGTGAGAGGTGGTTGTATGCCCTCACTCTGCCTGAGGTGTTTTTATATAGGGCTTTTAGGATGTTAATAAACTTCTCAGGCACACCCTTCTTCAATAGACAATCCCAGAGAACAGCCCTGATGTCAAGAAACACTACGATTGTTGGCCTTTGATAAGTATGGCGATGTTCTAACATTTGGCGGAGGGTGAAGATATGATCAATACATCCTCGACCAGAACGAAACCCAGCCTACTCCTCGCGAGTCAATCTTTCTCGGGTTTTGAACAACCTACGAAGTATGACGGGAGCCAATAGCTTGGACGCAATCGGAAGTAGACTTATCCCACGATAGTTGTTACAGCAACGACGTGAATCCTTTTTAAAGAAAGGGACAACTATCGACTCATTCCATGACGTTGGTACACTCTCTAGCTCCCAAACCTTTGTAAACAACGTCGTCAATTCCTTAGTCAGAAAGTCACCACCATCTTTAAAAAGAGCCGGAGGTAAGTCATCTGGGCCAGGTGATTTGTAACGCTTCAAGAGTTGGAGTTCGTTGCGGGCTTCCTCCTCGTTTGGTGGATCAGTCGTCACCGGCCATGGAGGGCAGGACAGTCTGACCGATGTTGCCGGAGCAGCAGGCCAGTTGAACTGCCCTTCGAAAAATTCTGCCCACCGTCCAAGACGTCGATGGATGTTAGTGATTGGCATCCCATCATCCTCGCAGATTGTTTCACTCACACCAGACTTCTTGCTGCCAGTGGCTCGGATGAGTTGGAAGAGCTTCCGGTAATTACCAAATGCAGCTGCTGCTTCCAGCTCATTAGCACGCTTCGACCACCAGGCTTCTCGGTCCTTACGCAAGGTTTGCCCAATTTCAGTACGCAACATCCTTCGTTTATGGTCAAACTCACGGTCACCCGGAGTAGACCGACGGGCTTCAATGAGTTGTAAGGAACCCGCAGAAACCCAGTGCTTATAAGCGGGACGTTTCGCGAACCCACAACTGACTGTACCCGTCATTTTCATGGCGTCATGCAATGGCAACCGATGCTCATCTATACTTTTCGGTGGAGTGGTAGCTAGCCTAGAGGCTAGCTCGGTTCGATACTTATTTGCAACAGAAGTTGCAACCAGCTCGCTAATATCAATCCTTTGCTGGCGGTCACTTCGTTGACCACTGAAAAGTAAGGCAAGATTGGCGCAGACCAAGGCATGGTGAGAGTCCAGATAGGTACTCCAAAAGGGGCGCCAGTCTTGTACACAACCACGCCAGCGGTAGCTGATCGCGATGTGATCAATTTGAGTCCAGGCTTGAGATGCAGAGGGAGGACGCCAGGTGGCACATCGGCGATGACTGTGCCGAAAGTTAGTGCTAGCGAGAAACAGGTTGTGGTCTGTGCAAAGTTGCTTGCGGCTTACCAGAATCGCTTAGGACCCGAATAAAGCGTTCAAATTAACAAGACTTATCAGAAACACCTTACAGCTGTCACACCCTTCTACAGTCAGTAGTGCGACTTCGCCCTCAGACCTTGAGTTGCAGCTTTTAGTCTTACCGTTATCCAATCGACCTGGCTAGCATGGTAGAACCTACAAGAAGATATGTTCCAGCCAATATAGCTCGGTTGGGTCATTACGATAGGCATGCCTGACCGTCACGTCAAGGTAGCAGCTACGATCGAGATTTTGACCCATTTATTATATATGAATAACCAATTGACAGTGATACCAATCAGTAGAATAAAACTCACCGGATGTAGCGTTCAATCTATAACTCAAATTTGATTTTTTTTCATGATCATTAGATTTCTTTGTTGTTTTTGACAAAATTGATTCAACTTGTAATAATTGCATTAATCTATCTAACAAACCATGTATTATTTCAAAGCCAGAATTTTTATTGTAGTAAACTGCACAAATACGTCGATGATTGCTAGCGCCAACATCTACATAATAGATGAAGAAGTACATTAAGGTGATTATGTATATATATATATATATATATATATATATATATATATATATATATATATATATATATATATATCATGAAAATAGTGTTTTTTATATTTGTTCTATGTAAAAGCATTTGTACAGCTTTTTTCTGGATGCGCACTGCTGATGAGTCTCACAATAGGACTGAACGGTCGTCCAGTGGTTCCAGGCTTTCAATGTTGGTCTAACATCAATCGGTTCATGATCTCAATCAAAAACGTAATAATCTCCACAACCCATAGTGATTATTTTTACCTGGCTATAAATATTAATGAACGCTTGATTAGATGGAAGTTGGCTCACACATCTTCACCGCGAGTCATTTCACTTCGCTCTGTTTTCTTTGCTTCATTCCTCTGATTTCCTGTTCAGATCAGTGTGTACAAAATATATGTGTTCAAAAATCTATTCACGTATTCGATTTATTTAACTCCGTCATTCACCGATGCGATTTAAGTTGATGATTATATATGAGGATTGACGATATGTATATGTCAATATCAATTACAAACAATCATACGATCTAAATGGAGTCAGATGTCGGGTCACTAAAGATACAACAAAGAAGCTCAAACTCAAAACATCTTACAGTAAGAATTATACTATTAAGATATACAACTGAAAATAGAATAGTCTATATAGACTTTAACTTTAGTGAATCATTCAACACTTAACCAACTACTATAATTGATATTTAATACAAAGGGTTTGTGGAGACTGTTCCATTTTATAGTTTATATGACAAACTAACTATAGTTAGACAATAATAAATGGTTTCGGGTTCGACTATTCGTATGCTCGGTTGCAGTTGTACGGTGTTAAAGAGTCTCATTCTAAGACGAAACAGCTGATCAATGCTTTTTAACTAAGGTTACTCCCAGAAATAAATAGTAGTATATATATATATATTCTTACCTTTAGATGGATTTTTCAGTACAATATCTTGAACTTCAAATAATTTCAAAGGTAATGGTAAACTTTTATTACTGGCTAATGTATTCAACAATCCTGGTAATAAACTGGTTCTGACAACCTGGACATGAAAAAAGAGGAAAATATGCATGAAAAAGAAAATTATTCAACGAAATTTAAGGAGTACATAACACTAAACATTAATAATCAGAATGAGATTTTGTGAAGACTAATTCGATGGAAAAATTGATAGCAAAAAGAAAAGATCAAAAGGTGTTGAATATCCGCTTTATCTTACGTGTGTAGACTCCTTATAAATGAACACTAAGCACGAGAGTTGAATCAGGAACATAAGATTTATTGAGCATTATACTGAGATTTAGATGGTGGTTGGAGGTAGTCAACAGGAAACCCTGGACCCGGGTTTCGTGCTACTTGGCACTCATCAGCAAGGTGTACCTGTAATCTTGAGGGAACTGGTGCTCCCTGGCGGATTTGATCTCGTGTCACCTAGCTTCACAGTCAGAGACGTTACCACTGAGCTATCCGAGCCGTGACTAACCTTCTGTAGGACTGAGATGTAATCACAATTGATTGATCACTGGGTGGTGATCAATAAGGACTAGACAAGCATGACATCGATCACCACCCAGTGATCAATCAATTGTGAGCATTATACTTTTAAACAACCTGAGACAAAATCCAATAATGAACATTCCCAAATATAATCAAGCTAAGATGCTATGCAACTATAATAATCTAATGTCATCAGTAGTAATTATTCCATTACTTGATAAGGAAGTATTTTACATTTTAACAATGTTGGAGAAAATTTGTAGCTCAGATAGATGATTTTCGTTGTGTTCTCTAAGCTCGGCTGTTTAATTGCTCTGTTTTCGTTATCATTCTGGGAATAAACGTTATTTTAACGAATGTGAGTGAAGGCTTTGTAATTAGGCTATTAAACTTAATGAACGAAACACAAATAAAAATCTCTTATTAATATTTTATATTGTAGTGTATATTACTTATATCGGTAGACATAAGTAGTATGTAACATCAGTCGGAACTGGAATGCTTTGTAACAGAAAGCTAAGAAGATCAAGTTGAAGAAAACAGGAAAGAATTGTGAATTGGAAGAATCATACAGAGTGTGAAGGATAATTGATGGAAGATTTCCAACTGAAGTATTAAATGTATGGTTCTCATATTTTACCAAGATATTCTGTAATTCTGTATTAAACACTAAGTTGGTTATCCATTAACTGAGTTCTTATTCATTATAATATGACTTGCAGTGATATATGAACATCTAAGTTTTAACTTCACTTCATGACATATATTCCATGAATTCATTCCTTTTAGTCTTTTATTTTTTTACTATTACTAATACTACAACTTCTACTGGATTAGTATTTATCTGATTAAATTTATCACATTGTACTAATATAGTACGATGATTTGGATTCATGAACCTTTTCACTAGCCCCTCTATCGATGAAGAAGGACAACAACGGCATCGGCATCTATAATTAATAACATTATTTCTAACATATAAAAAAGTATATTCCTTAACTACATGGATAAGATAAATAACATAATCGATTGTTTATTAGTATAATAAGTGTCGTTTTACTTAGTGTTGATAGCATTGTATTCACCAAATTATAAACTATTCAGGTATTGAATCATGTTTAGGGAGACAAATGTTAGGGGAATTCTGTAATTAAATGTGCTACGATATTCGTTACAAACGTGTATCTAAGATTATGATAAAATTAATGGTTCGCTGATAGAGTCTACCAATAAATGAACAGCAATGTTATACTTTGGGTAATTCATTGATGACTTACTTGAAAATCAAGCGTTTTAGGATTAGATATGTGTACAGCTGGGACATCATCTAATTTTTGCCTCAGTTTAGTGCTGATATCTTCCTTGGAGCACTAAAATACAACAGAATAAAAAACAAAACAGTATAGCATTCATTATTATTATTTACATGTACGCGCCCCCTGATATGGCCGAGGATGGGGAGAGTCAGCTCTCCTTCTCCTAATGCTCTCACATGGCCATGTGCATACAACTACTGCCAGGGATGTCCTACTCAACGCCTTATCGCGGCATTACTGTTGTTTAAGAAATTCAGAGGGCGAAAAGCGAATGTCCGGCGCATCAACCGGGATGGTGGACATGGAGAGTCTACCTAGGTGAGTTGGAAAACCCTGAATCCAAACCAATGCTCCACATGGGCTACAGGATCCTGAAGGGGCAAATGGCTTATGAACTTATTGTTGATCACCGACTACCATGGGACTGGATCTCTTGACGTTGCTACACTGCCTTGTGGATCAGACCTTCAGGTCGAAGGCTCCAGATGTGACCCCCTAAGAAGACCACCTGCTTCGGTTTTGGCACTCGGACAGCATCACAGCCCACACACAAATCGAGTGACTTGTGTGGTGCATATCTGTTTGAGAAGCCCGAATCTCCAAATATAACTCAGTCCGATGGTCACAATGTATATTTAGTCTAGCCATCTTCACCACTTTTCCAATGTAATTCTATTTTAGTCAGGATAGGTAGTAAATGGGGAAAAGTAACAAATGTCCTAATCACCCTCGTCAGTCAGTCACAACGTAGAATCAGGTACATATATGCATCGTTCAAGTTGCCATACCTCATTAACACAACAAGATGAACACCGGATTCATAGAAGTAGTTAATTCAATGATGATGGTAATATATAAAAGAAAGATCGCATATAAGGATATATTACAGGAAGAAAGAATTAGTACGTAGAAAGATATGTAGCGATTCTAATCTCTTAGTTTAAGGGAAGACAGAGAGTGTATACACCCACACCATTGTGATCGATTCTGAGCCATGTCACCAAGAGTCTCCAACCATTGGTTATGACAGTCACGCGAACCTCAACCAAGTAGTCTGCACCAACATGGCTCAGATCAGAAGTTAGTGACTTCAAGCACTGAAGCCACGTTTTGGTTTGAACGCCCCTAACTTTCTTCCAACCATTCAAACACTAGTCAGCAAAGCGTGTTGTAGTAATCGGTTTTCAGGCATACGTAACATGTGGCTCAACCATCTCAGTCGATGAAGATTCACAACCTCATCAACTGATTTAGCATCATTTCATAATACCCTGCGTCTAACCTTACTATTACTTACCCGGTGATCCCAGCAGACGCCAGCAATATTTCTAAGGCATCTGTGGTCAAATACTAGTAGCTTATGAGTATCTTCAACTCTTATCAGTGGTAACGTTTGAGAACTATTCATAGACAAATATCATATGTATATTCTTAATGTATAACTATTCAGTAGCTCCTCTTAGTACAAGCTATTATTATACGATTTACCATTCTTGAGTTATGCTCAGTCTATCAATGACAGTCTTCCACATTTGCAACCATTTTCGGCTAGATCCTGTACAACTTTTATTTTCCATTTTATAGTACGATGTAGTCTGTTTGGTTTGTATATAAACCCAGTATGTTTGAAATACATGATTCACATAGCAGAGGTTGAGATTGGTGTTCTAGACTTAACAAGCAGGTTTCAGCAGGAAGAAGGACAGATAAAGACTCTAGACTGCTCGTACATGTTTTATGCGTTATTGATCCAGTCGATAAATCACTGTTCTCTAATTGGCGTTATCATTACATTATATATTAATAGGGCACAAGGACTACAACAACAAGACAATAAGATTAGACATCAGTGCAAAATGTAATAAGTATACGATTTAATTACAATAACATTTGTGGAATTTTACTTTGTTAACGAAATTTATTTATTCCAAGATGAAATGATTTAATTAATACATTATTAACAAGAGTTACATAATACATATATCAGTCTATAGACATGATCAGTGCATGGTTACTCTTAGGACACTGGAACGTTTCTGAAAGTATAGAGTGGAGGCTACTACTTTCCACTTGTTAGTAGAAATGGTAATATACATTCAATTTGTCAGTCTATACAGAAAACTTCAACGAATTGTATGATCAAAAAATGTCAACATAACAAAATAGTCAACGAGAATCCCAACACAAGTAAAAATACTAATTTATGAGGATAACAAATCTATCGAAATAGACTGATATGGGACTTATGAAATAAATTTATAATCTTCACTGGTTATTTATTCTAAGCAGACATTAATGAAGTTGATCGAAATAGCAATGAGAATTTAACAATGAAAGTCATCTACCTCATAGAATGGAACACATCATTAGAAGCATCTATATGAGTTTCATAAACTCTTTTCATTAAACAACTTCTGTTTAGTTGGCATTCAAAAGATTACTTACTTACTTACGCCTGTTACTCCCAATGGAGCATAGGCCGCAAACCAGCATTCTCCAATCCACTCTGTCCTGGGACTTCTTTTCTAATTCCATTCAATTCATGTTCATTTTTCTCATGTCTATCTCCATTTCTCGGCGTAATGTGTTCTTTAGTCTTCCTCTTTTCCTTTCGCCTTGAGGATTCCATGTGAGGGCTTGTCTTGTGACGCAGTTGGGTGCTTTCCTCAATGTGTGTCCTATCCACTTCCAGTGCTTCTTCCTGATTTCTTCCTCCACTGGGATCTGGTTTGTTCTCTCTCACAGTACGTTGTTGCTAATAGTGTCTGGCCAACGGATCTGAAGTGTTTTGCGTAGACAATTGTTAATAAACACCTGTATTTTCTGCATGATGGCTTTCGTAGTTCTCCAGGTTTCTGCCCCATACAGTAGAACTGTGTTGACATTTGTATTGAAAATCCTGACCTTGGTGTTGGTTGACAGTTGCTTTGAGTTCCAGATGTTATTCAGTTGTAAATATGCTGCTCTTGCTTGCCGATCCACGCCTTCACATCTGCATCAGATCCACCCTGTTCATCAATGATGCTGCCCAAGTACGTAAAGGTTTTTACATCTTCCAAATCTTCTCCGTCAATTGTGATTGGATTGGTGCATTCTGTGTTGTATCGGAGAATCCTGCTTTTCCCTTTGTGAATATTGAGACCTATTGCTGCTGCCACACTGTTCGTCTTCTCCTGCATCTGTTGTTGCGTTTGCGATAGAAGGGCCAGATCGTCTGCGAAGTCTAGATCATCCAACTGCATCTTAGATGTCCATTGTATCCCGCGCTTCCCTTCAGACGTTGACGTCTTCATGATCCAGTATTCAAAAGATTAATAAACATTATTTATAATGTCAAGCCTTAGTTATTAGTATTTTCATTTTATGAAACTAACCCACTGATTTTATTCTGAATAAATTGTACAAATTTTATTGTTGGTTGAAGAAATACCAACTTACTAATGAGAAACTTAATGCTTCAGTAAATCCCATTTGAGCTATTTCAGCACGAATAAGATCTGTCAACCGACTGATTGGTTGATTACCAGCTACACAATAGGTTTGTGGTAAAGATTCAGGTATATTATCATAACCGAATGCAATCCCAACATCTTCAGCTATATCACATGCATGTAAAATATCATGCCTTGTAGGTGGTATTCTTACAGAGATTAGACCAGTTGCATTTTGACCTAAAACGAAATGAAAAGAGAAAACAGATTAGAAATATTGATTCATATGAATCTTTTCTTTTTTTGGAAAAAAGGGAATCCCAGATGTTTGAAATTAATTGACGTAGGGAGAAGTGACTAACAAGAATTATCTGTGACACTTTTATTTTAAAGGTTTGCAATACCATATTGTTGAAACTCTGGGCTGTAATTGATCAGTCTCTGTTATCATATGTGTATCCTGAGGGGATTACCTTGGTATAAACTTTGTCTCAAGTTTTAGCATAGTTGGTACTTGACAAGCCAATGGGAACTAGAATGTACGTTTTATCCCGTTTCAGACTCGCTAGCTGGATGTTTCTGCATTCTAGCGTTGACATACGAACTGTGACTTGAACCCGGAGTGTTGTCCACTGAGCTACAGAGTTCAGAGAATACACATGAGAATAGAGATTGATTAATTGCAGTTTTGAATACCAAAAACAGAAAATTACAAATCCTTACTGATGTCTCATTACCCGTTGATCATATTAGTTGTTAAATGGACTTCACAGCTCAGTAGATAATTTATTGCGTTTGGGATGAAAACTGTTGGTTTTGAGTCTTAATGTGAATATCAACACTTGGGTGCAAATAAATCCAGATGACAGATCTCAAAAAGCACAAAACGCAAGTCCCAAATTCCACAACTACTCACAATCCAGTTTTACTAAAAGAATATTCATAATATTGAGGAAGCGCTTTATACCAGTGAGATTCAGGCATGCATTATCAGTATTCTCCACCCAACTCTGTACTGGGTAGACCTTCTCAGTTGTTAGACATCCTTCTCATACTGGCTTCCAATTGAAGACGTAGTGTGTTCTATGGTGTCCCTCCTTTCTGCTTCCCTTTGGGATTCCAAGGTTAGGCCTAGCTTATGATGCTGTTTGGTGATTTACGTAATGTATGTCCTATCCACTCCCAACATCTTTTCCTAATTTCCTCTTCAACTTCAAGCTGGTTTGGTCTCTCCCACAGAAAACCGGTTCTGATAGCATTCAACCAACGGACATTCAGTATCTTACGTAGACAAATGTTTATAATTACTTGTATCTTCTTGATGATGGTTGTAGTAGTTCTCCATGTTTTAGCACCGTACAATACAACTGTCTTGATGTTCCTATTGAAGATTCTCACTTTAGTATTGGATTTTAAATGATTGTTTTGAGTTCTATATTATATGTTCTTCAATTGTAGAAATGTGGCCTTTCTCTGCCAATCCTCGACTTTACATCTGTATCCGATCCTCCTTGTTCATCAACGATGCTGCTGCTGCTGCTGCTAACCATGTACGTGAAAAATTCCACATCATCCTAATGTTATTCAGTAGACTGAATATCATGTTTTACCAGTTTCCTCAACAATACAATGTGATATCCAGTCTTTTTTTTTACTTTCATTAAGTAACATCCACTTGATAGTTTTGCTTACTTAGTAACAAGCAGCTTTTTGGTTGTTTGCTTTGTTTTCTTTAGAACAAACACACACACGCACACATTGGCTCTTGTTCTGTTTTCTTCTTTCATTTCATCAGTTTGATGTGACGTTTCTTTTTATTTTCAAAATAGAAAAATAACTTGTTTATCTCCTTTTTAAAACGACTCAAAACAAGAACAAGGTTTGCAGAATCAATTTACACCTTCCATCTACAAATCAGCTTGTTTTTATGTTTGTTTAAATTTATCAAAAACCGATCAGATTTCTATCAAAACAATTCACTCATCACATCACACTATACTGATACATTTTGGCATCCAGTGTTCATTAGTTATCTTAATTACAACTTGATCATTTAGTTCCATTCTTTTCAGGATTTTCAAAGTTGTACAAGCACAAGTCAATAGTGTAGATTATACAAATTATAAAGACTTGACTACTACTACTACTACTATCAAAAATAATAGTAGTAGTGTGGAGACAGTTAAATGTTGTTGGACTCTTGTCAAATCATTCAACAATCGGGTGATTGAATGTTGAACATTTTACAGATCCTATTCAAGGTCTAGGATAGCCAACACGCATCAGTTCATTGCATACCGTGGACTGGCTCATGGGACAGTGGTTGTGCTCTGTTTCTTATACCTATTCTTGCTAATACGTTCCTGTATCATCATTAAGTTCGTTTTACACTGTCATCAAAGTAGCCACAGTATCTGAATACGACGAAAGGCTAATCCAAATCACGTATTAACTGTGAGGTTTGACTTCGATGTAACATGGTTGGTCACGTCAACTCGAGTAGACACCCAAACATCGAAATTCATCACCTACGTTGGTGATCTACAATAGTAACTATAACAATTATTGTTATTACTATTATTACTATCACTATTATCAATTATTAAGCAGTTATCAGAAGTTAGATAAATTCTCCATAATATTATATATTACGATTCAAATTGACACGTACGTTTTAAAGAGGAATCGAATAGCATGTAAAACATAAATATCTAGAAATAACCAACAGTATTCATTTATCGATTAGTTACGTGATTCAGATAGTGTCATAAATTGCAAACTACATTGTTTGTTGTGCCATAACACCAAACATTAATAGAACATAATATTAGTATGATGAAACACATTTGTAACAATAGTGAACACATCAAAATCAACTAATTTCTAGATAGAAATATCCAATGTAACATATTCATATAGTAAACTTTATATAAACCATGACAGAAGGTACAATTCACCTATCAATATGATCTGGGAACCCTACACTTCTGTGAACATTGATCTTATATTACAGCTGAGATTTTCAATTGACATTATTTGTAAGGATGAAGAGTAGGAAAATGGTGATGGGTCAGAAGAAACAGGAAAAACTCTACAGACAGTTAAGAAAACGAAAACTGTCTGCTCACTCACAGTTGGTCAACATCTGATAAAGTTGAGGCCTGTGACGTTTTAAAGCTTATACTTAATCTTCAGAATGTCGTCAGGATGATGGAATGTTCTGAGTACATTTCAATTATGAAGCGTCTACTCCCATAACGTGTTAACTGGATATACAGATACCACACTTCTATCCTTAACATCTACAACGGGAAAACACAATCACCTACATCTGGTCAAATATCTTCTACACTAAATTCCGCCTCTACTTAAATACGTAGGTTCGCAAATACAAACATGTTCGTCATATAGTAAAAACTAGTTGAAATATTTTATTTCAACTGCTTTAGTATACTGTAATCGGTAACATTTCGTCGGATATTGTTTAAGTGTTTTGTAACTAAATACTAATAGTATTTGTGCTACATAGTAAATTCCTTGTTCATTATTCGGCTTCCGATTTCGATTACGAAGTTCGAAACCTTCGATTGTACTCCCGGAGTTCTTTCTGACTTAGGTACTTGTTCATAAGTAACGATTAGTGCAAGAATTTATTTTGGTAGGAACTCAAATACTGGTACCGTTGATTTGATGTTCAAACGTATCTTGAATCTTTCATACGGTTCAGCAACACTGTGTTGGAAACCTTTCCTAGCACTGACAGTAATGTGATGCCTCCATAGTTCTCACATTTGCTCAGATATCCTTTTTCTGGTATATTGATGAGTTATTTTTCTTTCCAGTGTATCAATGACACTTGTTGCTCCTTCCAAATATTCCTGATTAGAACGTGAAGCATGTTTGCAGTTATGTCTATATCTGGCTTCAGTGTTTCAGGTAGTATATTGTCAGGTCCTTCTGCTTCCCCGATCTTGATTTGTCTGATGACCATCTTGATTACTTCGATCGTTGGTGGTGGGACGTCGATAGGGATATATTTACACAAATACGAAAAGTCGTTAGGGAATTTCCAGATACGTAAAAGGTTGGTCACATTGTTTCTGTATACTGAATAGATGGGGCCGAATGAATAACAACACCACAAACACTACAGCACGACTTCACTGTCATAGATTGTATTTTTTAGAGCTCTTGGTCTTACATCTCTCCAACAGACCAATCTAGTTGGATAGAACGTCAGAGATTAAGGGTTCCAGGTAATATAATTCAATAGAGTCGTTAAAGTAAAAAAATCCAATCATTGGATTAATAATAAAGGTACAGTCAGAAAGTGAATGATTTGTGATGACTGGTTTAATCAACCATAGGATTATTTAAATCATACAACAGCATGAATCAAAATCTTAAGTCGAAAACCTTTTTTTATCACGTTAAGGCAACAGTACTATTCTATCAGATAAATCTATACAATCGATTATTTCAATGAAACATTACCTGTTGTTAATATATCTGAAGTTGAATCTTTACATTGATTCGACGATACAGTTGTACAAGTGAAACCCATACGATTTAATAAATTGATCACTTCTGTTTCAGAAATATTGGTACCTAATTGACGATTGATATAATCAATACTGACAACTTCATCACGATAATCTAGACGCTAAAATGAAAATGAACTAAATATAATAATAATAACAATAATAATAATAATAATAATAATAATAATAATAATAATAATAATAATAATAACAGTATAGCATTTTGAAGAGATAATATGACATTGAAAACCAAGTGATCCATGATGATGTAATGGGATAGAATGAAGTCTAATAATAGGCAAAGCTTAATTCACTAGATAATAAGTAACTTAGCAACTGACTAACCACCAAATGTTTATGATTTGATTCTGTTTTCTGTATTTTTAATATTTTATATACAAGCATATTGCTTTCATAAGATCAAACAATCAATTCATTTAGTTAATAGTTGTGTCAATAATCAAGAATATAAGCTTCACACTATGGTCAATTGTACTGTACTTTATTCTGAAGCAATTGGGGAGGTAAAAGAAAAAACACTAAGAAAGTTTACTTATACCTTAAGCTGATAATGACCATAATATGAAACGTGTAGATATTTATAGAAGAATGAGGGGGTCATTGACAATCACCAGATAAAAATATTAGTCTCAAAGACCAATATTTAAATTTTAGTATTAGAAGGAGGTTTTTGTGGAGATTGTAGTAATTTCAATAGTTGAGATCATGAGTCAATTGAAACTAGAACACCATGGAAAACGTGGAAGCACTGAACGTCACCTCGTCCTATTGTGGGACTCCTCAGCAGTGCGTATCTACGACTCCGCCTTGCGGGATTCGAAACCAGGATCCCTTCTGGTACTAATCAACATATGCTCACTAGTGACTGGCTTCCATATGTATATCCTGGAGTTCTAGTGAGAAGCAGTGACCAGTGAAGTTCGACCGGGTCAGTTGTGAGATAGTAATTCGCTGATGACAATGGTGGATGTGTCGCTCAATTTCGTGGATTAGTTGAATTTAGATATTAACACCGTTGGATGCCAACCGGCTCAGCGGTCTAGAGGTTAAGCGCTCGCGCCCGAGACTGATAGGTCCTGGGTTCGGATTTCGTGAGGCGAGGTCGTGGATGCGCACTATTGAGGAGTCGCACAATAGAAAGAAACGGCCGTCCAATGCTTTCACGTTTTCTATGGTGATCGTCTAGCTTCCATTGACTCATGATCTCAACTATTTAAATTTAAATTTAACTCAATGGACTTAAATATTTTGAAATGGTAACATAAAAACAACCTTGTCTTTACCTAACTGTAGTCGGATTTTCGGGGAAACGAAGTATTTCACAGTTATTTAAAATAAAATAGTTTACCTAAAGCTACGATAGAATACTCACTGGATATAAAAAACGACTGCCATCATGTTGAATAACTTCGACAGATTCAGCGCTACGAAAAAAAAAACAAAATTATTTTATAAATGTTTGTACTGAAGAATGTCTGTTGATGTGTAGATTTATTTTAAAAGGATACCCTGACTAAATTTTATTTTATTTATTTATTTAAACACGTAAATATTGTTACAAAGAGGCACAAAATGGATGTATCACATAAATCATTCGATTTGTGTGAGGGCTGGGATACTGCTCGGGTGCCCAAAGCGAACCAGATGGTTTCCTTAAGAGGGCTACATAAAAGTCTGACCCACAAGGAAGTGCAACAACGTTAGGAGATGCGATTCGATGGTAGCCGATGACCAACGATTGGTTCATACGCAACTTGTTCCTTCAGGGTACTGGAGCCCATGTGCACCATTGCTTTGGAATCAGGGTTTTCCAACTCATCTAGGTGGACTCTCCGTGTCCAGCGACCCGGTTAAAGCGCCGGATAATCGCTTTTCGTCCTCTCAATTTTGTGAACAACAGTAATGCCGTTAGAAGGCAGTGAGTAGGACATCCCTGGCAGTAGTTGTATGCATGTGGCCATATGAGAGCATTTGGAGAGAGGCAGAGAGCTGACTCTCCTACACTCGGTCGTACTAGGACATTTAGAGGCACTAAATTACTTGTTAAATTGAGAAAGCATTGTCATGTTAAGTGCGATATTAATAATAAGAGTACTAGGAAACAGTTGAATGCCATTCAGAATACATCAGTTTAATAATATCGAGATTATCACTAGATTTCATACGAAAAGTGGGGACTGTTATTGATAAAATAAGTCATCTATTAATGGGAAGAGATAAAATTTAATGTGAAAATAAAATAAACCCAGCTAAATATCCAAACATTTTGAGGTTTATTTCATTTTCTGGAAACCCAGAAGAACTAAACAACGACTGAGACGATTTCAATGAGTCAGTCAATCAGCTACAACGTAGGACCAGACACATATGTGTATCGGTTAAAGTTGCCATAACTCATTAGCACAAGAAGATGAACACAGAATTCATAGAAGTAGATAATTCAGTAGTGGTCCTTTGAAACTGTTGAATGGAATTCATGAGTTCTTTAACCCCAATAACAATCAATCCATCAACTTTATCATGATCAGCAGAATGTTAGAATTCTTACATATCACAAGTTATAAAACACATCAGATGCATAAGTGAGACATTTATGTCACAAAACCAAGTTATTTATCATTAACTGACTGATATTTTTTTTAATTGTAGAAAATATAATAATTACAGGTGTTTATTAACAGTTGTCTACGCAAAATACTTCAGATCCATTGGCCGGACACTATTAGTAACAACGTACTGTGGGAGAGAACAAACCAGATCTCAGTGGAGGAAGAAATCAGGAAGAAGCGCTGGAAGTGGATAGGATACACATTGAGGAAAGCACCCAACTGCGTCACAAGACAAGCCCTCACATGGAATCCTCAAGGCCGAAGGAGAAGAGGAAGACCAAAGAACACATTACGCCGAGAATTGGTGATAGACATGAGAAAAATGAACAAGAATTGGATGGAACTAGAAAAGAAGGCCCAGGACAGAGTGGGTTGGAGAATGCTGGTCAGCGGCCTATGCTCCATTGGGAGTAACAGGCGTAAGTAAGTAAGTAAGTAATGAGTTAAAAGATACATTACAAATATTCATGAATGTGTAGAACTCGTTCAAGTAAAGTATTGATATCCATGTTTATAATACTGACTATTATTAATTCACATACAGTTTATTAAATAGAATACAATGAATTACAAATTCATCTAGACTCTTCCCACTTGAGTTGCTGTTATATCGCGATGAGAGTAATGAATGGCAGTAACTGTTGGAATCTATTTCTGGACTAATACTGTACATATATTCTTATTGTGTAACTGTCAAATGTCTAAACTATCTGCATATTCATATTCCACTTATTATGAGCTTTATTTTGATCTATGAACTACTATTATACGATTTACCATTCTCGAGTTATACCCAGTCTATCAAATACGATCTCCCACATTCACAGACACTTTTAGGCTAAATCTTGTACAAATGTGTATTTTCTATTTACGGTATGATGTGGTCTCGTTGACATGTATATAAGCCAAGCTTGTTTGAAATATATGATTCATACAGTGGAAGCTGTTATTGGCGTTCTGGACTCAACTGGAAAAGTCAGGCAGAAAGAAGGACCGATAAAGACTCTAGACTGCTCGTACGCGTTTCATGCATCATTAGCCTGGTTGACAAATCACTGTTCTCTAATTGGCGGTACCATTACGTTATACATTGATAGAGACACAAACTTACAAATTATAACAACTATAAATCATCACTATCATCTCACAACCTATCAATTAATAGAGGCACTAGACAATTAAAATAACAACAACAAAATAATTACGTTTTTAAAGAGAAAAATAGAGAGCTTACGTAAATGGTTCCTCACAATACTCTGAGAACATTGTGATAAGTGTATCAAGAACAACAATAGCTTTGTGTAAATCAGTTCCAGTTGCTTCAATAAAAACGTTTCGTGTTTTAGTAGAAATACGAGAATGTTCACCTGAATAATCGATAATAATAATAATAATGTCAATAAAAGCACAATATGGGTCATATTTGAAACAATCAAAAAAATGGGACATAGTTATTTAAATGAAGCACGAATAACAGAAATTTAAGCAAAATATTTTGCCCATTAAACATATCACTACGGTGATTATAATTACATATGATACACAATAATTCGTGTCATATTGTGATAAAATGGTCAATGTTTCTTTAAAGCTTTCAAAAGATGAACAATGTTTTAAAATATAATCCACGAGACAGAAATTGACAGTCATGAAAACAACAAAATCAGTTGTCATACAACAACTCTAAGTAACCGTTAAGATATTTAAACGACTATTAACTGATTTCGTGAACTATCAACCAACTAATATGGCTGATAGATACGAAAGATAGAGAGGATATTGCCTACAAATATGAACAATAGTAGTCAGAGTAAGTAAGAACAAAAGACTAAAATGGATCTCCTACTGGTCAGAAATAACACCATCATTAACAGTAAGGTAATAAACTTTCGGCTAAAACGTTAAGTAACATAACTTGTAGTGATTAAAAAGGTATTAAATGTTTCTAAACCCCGAACATATATTTTATACCGTTGTTATCGCTTTTTATAAATTATGACTGAATGCTTTCAGTTATCATTTTTAAACTGACTCATTTATCAGCTAGTTGGCTATAAACTACACTATAGTTAATAGGGCTAATGATGTGATGCGCGCTACTTATGTTAATCTAAGCAGTATATGATGCGAGTCAGGAATGTAATGTCTGGTAGCAGAAGATGGGGAAGATCAGGAAAGGAAGAGCGGGAATAGAAAGCAATTAGTATGGAAATGCAAGGGCAACGAAGTTCGAGACAATTATTGAACATTTTGCAAATTAAGTATTATAGTATAGTTTTTCTATTTTACCAAGTAACTGTAATTTTGTGCTAAATACATTCGATTGTCCCTACCCGTGTTCTGTTCACTACAATGATACTACTCAGCTGCGTAAACCGATATACGCGTGGAGGAGTTCCAACGCGAGACCCAGTGGTTGAAAATCCAAAACACTGATATACATTTTTTGAGAAATGTTATTTAAGCATAAATACAGCTCACCGTTTATTATTGGAGGCATTGATAGAACAGTATTGGAACTGTCGAAAATAATTGGATATTTAGGTTTATCTTGAATTAATGAGAGATATTGTTTTAAATGTGAATCACTCTAAAATAAAAATTAAAAAAAACTAGGCAGTTCACAACACTAAAATTGGATTATGTGTTTATGAGACTAACTGATGTACTGTATAAATAAAACGTTTAACCTGAGATATAACTCTCTAAGGTTGAAGGGGTTCAATTCACCTTATTGAAGGTTGTGGTAAGAAAGTAAGGGATCGCCATAGTATCCTATTCTGACCTATGTCTAATGTTTTATGCCAATAACTGCACCATGGCAATATGTTATGGACTAGCCATTTCTAAGCTTCTTCCACCCTATTCCAGAGCTGGTAAATGATGAGAGATGAGGAAGCTACTGAGATGGCATCCATAAAACATGACTAATTAATCAGAGTCAGTGTTCTAAGATGGAGACACTAAATCCGAAAATGCATTATCGAACATTGGGATTACTGACCAGACCAAAGAGACACTACATTATGCGCAACCTGACCGAAAAAAATAGATCGACACTAAGATCTAGATAAACACAACATTGGCGGAAAAGAGAAAGACTAAAAGACACATTGCGTCGGGAATTGGAAGTAGACATCAAAAGCATGAATAGCACCTGGAAGCAACTGAGAAGGGTTGACCAGGACAGAGTTCGATGAAGAATGCTGGCGGTCAGCTTGTGCTCCTCCACGAGAGATAACAGACGTAAGTGTTTAATATGTTAATCAACTATATATTCCATATCTCATTATATTTTTCAATTGACCGTTCTATGTTCATGTTTTTGATACATAACTTCTATATGATACTTGCTAGTAGTAGTAGGACGTGTTTACTGAGCAGCAGTTCGTTCCGTCCTACTTTATGGCAGTAAAACATGGTCGGTAAGAGTAGAGGATATTCGTAAGTTACTAGTATTTTATCATAAATGTTTTCGAAACATTGCTCGTATATCCTGGGACCATCGAGTAAGTAACGCAGTAGTTAGGAAACGGGTACTAGGTAAGGATGGCAAATCAATTGATGAAGTAATCAAACTTGACCATTTGAGATGGCTGGGACACGTGTTACGTATGCCCAACTACCGACTACCTCGACATGCGATGTTTTCTGGTGTAGGAGGTTGTAAGAAAGCTAGGGGCGGCCAGACCAAAACATGGCACAAGTTCATAAACATTAATCTGAGACTAAAAATTGCAAAACATTTCTTTGCTCCATTCGGTTTCTAAAATATCAGGATCGGGACTTTCGCTCTACTGAAATCTGAGACTCAATAAATGAAAAAGTATTGCATGCATAATTCAAGGATTGGAAGCCGGAATGCTAAACTACCAATATCTCAAAAACATCTTTAAATGTATATATCACTATACGTAATGGATGTTCAACAAAGAAAAGCAATTTATACCCAGCAGACTCACAGAAAATATTTGCATTAGTTCTTCAGCACTATGCTCTTCAGTTTTGTTCAACGCTTTAAAGCGAATATCTTTAGGACATTTAGCATCATAGAAGAAAGGTGGATTTAAAGTGTCCAAATCATGCGCTCCAATGGCCACTAAAGATCGTTTTCTAAAAGTGTATTAAATGTTCATAAATTCAAGTCGGGACACAGATTATGATTGTAACGAACAATAAAGAAAAGGTATTACTTACAACCAAAGTTACTGTTGCCTCTATTTGACTTTCTAAATATGACATTAAAAGTTTCGAGGTAATTAAATGATTACTTTTGAAGATTCCATAAATTACAAATTTATTAACAGTATTCAAAATGGTAAATTAAACCACCAGGCAAATACAGTAATATATAGTAACTTTACTTGTTAAACGCAGCAATAATCGTCGTCCTTTGCTTATTAGTTAAACGGTGATGATGATAAAACTGAATAAAGTATCTTGACAAGATGATAAAAGTAAATAACTGAGGACAAAAAGCAAAACTAACAAATGTAATCCAACCAATTAATAAAGAAATAAAGTTTCATGAGAGACAATTTCTGGTTGTTTGTGTTGGTTCTGTCGAGTGACACAGAATCCAAAGTTGTTACAGACAAAAACTTTAACTGGACTTGCTGATCATAGAAAAACAAAGTCTATTCGAACCACGAGTCGATGGAAGCTGCTACATCAATTAGAAAATGTTGTATATAGTTTAAAAACAAAACAGAATGAAACGACTAAAGTCAATGTATCAATTGGAATCGATGTATAAATGTGGCGGATTTTGCACTTACATACAATCGCTGCTAAAAGTTTTAGGACATTCTGGTCAATAAATAAGACTTCTAACCATGTGGATGCTAAGATCTTTTTTGAATTTTTATACAATGCTCGTTTGATTTAAATTTATTGACTACATACAAGCAGCCAGGCCCTGTTTAAGAAAAGACGAAGATTTGCTATTGGAAACGTAAAGCTGCCGTTTGGTGAGAGACTAGCTAGACTAAACCTGATCACCATGTAAACGATGATTTTATCACGATCTTTGAATCGCTGACAAACAAGTGGTCACAACTCAATCTGCCGAAACATTTAAGAAAAAAACAAGTCAACAGAGAGAACTGTATATGTAGGATAATAAGAGGATTTCAATCCTTCGTCATTTTAAAATTCAATTTAAGTATTATAAAACTAACGGCAGAAGTATAGTACGAGATATTACCTGCACAAATTTTGGTGGAGCTTCTCTTGTAAATCGATGAAACTATTGAGTCTAGACTCATCCAGCACAATGTTTCTTAATACACCAGCAACGACAAAAGGTCTAACACTTTGGGTCTGTTTTGATGAGATCATCTTGCGATTGACTTACCGACGGCAAAACATGCAACTGAATTATATTTTGGGGTTTCTTGGTGACAAAAGACGGAGGCTTAATCCTAACGTAAATAAAGCCAATAAAAGTTGCCCTACTTTGATTCAAATATCATAAGAGCTCGAGATAAACCCTCTGGACAAAGTAAATCATAACGATTAGCAGGTATTTCAACCTTATAAACCGGCTCGGTACTACACCCTCTAGACTTTTCCTTCCCCTTTTCTCTAGTAACTAGTTCTTTTTCCGTTACCTGAAACCAAGTAAACATTAGAATTCCAGCATACAACTTCGTCCAGTTCGAGACCATAACTGAAGCATAATTCTTCAAATTCTTCTTGTGCTATGAAAAAAACGTTAGTTATTGTTTACGCGGCTATTACAATATTCTTTTTGAAGTTTGCGGAATAAAACCGATTGCGAGATAGACACGATTGGCATTATCCCAAGGTATGACCTTCACGAAGGTCACGCGGAAATATTTATATTTACCGCAGACACCGTTCATTCAAGTTCCAGGTTCCAAGAGCTGAAAAATCACATACCATAGATATTTCGTTTTTTGTACTCGTCTGTCATGTCCTCTGAGTTGTCTTGACCCGTAAAAAAGGTACGCTAGGTTCAAATTTGTTTGGATTCTCAGAATAGCGATGCTTCCGCATCACGCTCTACTGGTTAAGCTAAACCTATCACTGTTGTCATATCAAAGAGTTAGAGGAGGTTGGATTACAGTTTTCAAATTACTTAGTGATAAATTTGCATCTGACATTACCCTCATTTTTCTTGTTTTCCAAAACAGAGAATTTACGAGGACACTCCGAAAACGTTCACAAACCCAGAACAACTCATTTGTCAATTGACTATTGCCTTTCTCATCGAATCATCAACGATTGGAATTCATTACTTCATCACGTGATTGAAGCTTAGACTTTTGACTCTTTCAAAAGATGATTGGATCAACTGGGAGACAGTCATTGCCATGACTAACACAATCCATCAACTCTCCTATCCTTTCCAGACTGAAACTGTTTGTAAATACTCTGCAAATCAAAATCAGATCACATTTTGATCTGTAATAAGGTAAAAAATGAGGTCTATCTTTTCAAACCGCTTTATCTATGACTGCCCCCGGAGTTCTGGAACTGTACGATTAACTGTACTCCGGATGTTTTAGGATATCCGAGTCACCTTTTAAACAGGGGCTGGCATCCCGGACGCAGGTTTGAAGTTCGGATCTTATGAGGGTTGTGTATACTGTGGTGAACATGGTGGTATCCAACTTAGTGAATGTTCGTCTTAAAACCCATCGTGTTCTGAACGCTTTAGCTGCAGCATCCTGGCAATGGGTCATGGTCTTAAGATCATGACTCACTATGACACAATGGCCCTAGTGAGACTAGATCACGGGAACAGACGCTTCTATGCTGTACGTATTTACCTATGCATCCCCAAAGTACATGTAGACACACTTGGCCGCATTATTAATTATTATAACTTATTCTCAAATAACAGTTTGTTATATGAAGCATGCCAAGTTCCAGGCAACATCAAATTTTTATAAATGATAAGATTTCCACTATAGCAAATTACTCAGCTGGGTTGATAATTTATAAGATATGAATGTAGATGGTTTTAGTCAGTATAACACTTGGCGCGCTTCATGAAAGTTGCGTTCCGACGTGCAACTGATGGTCGAGAATAGATCCATTGAGGGTGGATGCTTCTAGAAATCGCAAGCTTATATCCCTTTGGAATATCTGAGGCTTTAACGATGGTGAAAGACGAAATCCACCGTTCCATATCTGTTTTCAGTAGCGTATCTCAAGGGGGCCGAAAAAAGTTGCAAGAAAAAGAAAGGGCGAGAATCAGAGCAAACAATGTTCATAAAGGAATAGTTAAGATATGACTACTCAGTCTAATCCTCTTTTTTTCAAAGTATTTATTAAGCAAGAGCATTCAAATAGGTTAAAAAGATGAGTGTAAACAAGGTATGAGTGGATAAACAACTGAAAAATGGAGGTGGTTCAGAAAGAAGCTGAGAGTATGGGATTATGTGCAGTTATGAAATATAGTGCTAAAACCAGTATTATGATACACAAATGGCCGTCTCTCTTTTTTGGATTTTATACGGTCTTTAGTAGGCTCCGTTTTTAGCGAATGGTCTAGTTTGCTTGTAATGAGGTGTTATGCATAATAAATCAGCATCAATACCATTAGTTCATGACAGTCCACTAGATCATAAGGAGTCGTAATTATACGAAATTTGGATTGGAGTTATCTCCACACCAGCCACTTTTAGACAAGCGAATAAAAATATATAAATCTGCCTGAAATGCGCTTGCTGTTATTTGTCGCCAGATTTTTACATCATCAGCGTATAGTAACATTGGAGACCCAACTATGTGTGGTAGTTAATTTACATACAGCGTAAAAGATAAAGGACGTAAGACGGCCTCGCGGTACTCCACTCAGTACTGGTTTCCAAATGGAACACTCAGAATTTATTCTTACTGTCTACGACCCACTAGGAAATCCTTAAGCCATTTTAAAAGAGGTCCGGCAATTCGAAGATTTTCTAACTTCAATAGTAGTCTATTTCTTGGCACATATTCAAATGACTAACTGGAGTATATGTAGACAATTTCCACTGATTTTCTGTTGCATATAGCCTCTATCCATTTCTTCCTTGCTCTGAGGAGGTTTGTTGTGCAAGATAAACACTTACTGAAATGATGTTGTTCACTGTTTACTACGTTTTGTTTTCCACGAATATTAATATGAGCTTGTTGACTATTCTTTCCAATGTTTTACCAATGACACTGGTGAGGCTGACAGGTCTGTAGTTCAATGGAAGTTGTCTTGATCTTGTTTTATGTATTGAAGTGACAATTGCATCCTCATAGTCTGTAGGTATTCACTTTGACCAAGTGACATATTGAATATCGTAGTGAATGCGGCTGCAACATATTGTACACTTTGTTTCAAGCTTTTGGAATGTACTTCATCCGGTCCTATTTACTTTGCGTGGCTTAGGTGTTAAGGGTCTTAAGTACATCTTCTCGATAAAAGTACATGGTGAGCAGACAGTTTGTTGATTTTGTATTTGGTTCTAGTTCTTCGCCTTTGCATTTTGCTGATGATCCTCTATCGTTTGAGATGCACGCCCTTCCGTAAACAGTTTAAGAACTTCGTAGTGCATCCTTGTCTTGTTATATATATACGAGAAGAGTTTCTTGATTATAGGTTGTACCAACGGCTTTACATATTTTCGTTAGACTGCCCGGATTTCGCTTATACGCTGCTTTCGGACCGATCTGTAGAGTTCCATTATATACGCTATGCCAAAGCTCATGGAGACTTTAAAACATTTCTTCTTCTGTTTTAACAAACGCCAAATATACCGCTTTATTTAAGAATGGCTGTACGATTTCTTCTTGGTTACCGTTCAGGGTAATATTAGTTGAGTTACTTGAGGTTAGGAGTTACTAGATTACCCGGCTACAAGGGGAGCCTCAATGAGATATTTACATTTACCGTCTGTTGGTAAGTACTGTTTTATCTGTCGAAAAAACCTGACTCGTTTTTGAATAGGTCTTCATTTAGATTGTGAAACCGAACATGTTAAGCGCGAGGTTCGACTTTCAAACACGAAAAATTTTCAAGATTCACTATTAAATAATAAGAAATATAATGCCAACAAAAATAGAGAAGGCAATGAATGCACGAACGATAATATATTGAAATTACACAGATGTTTTCGGCCGACATAACTAATGATTGTGCTTGACCTGACGTTAAATAAGTATTTTAGGGGATACACAGACGTTCCCAGGATAATACACGAATACAAATCATCCCACTTCGAACCATTTATACTGTAATGACACTGAAGAATAAAATATCAAAAACTGTGACTGAATTACTAAATGACAAACGAAAAAGCAAAAATAACATAAAGATATCACAAGTATTTGGAGTTTGCCAAAACCTTATGTAGTCAAACCTTCGATAATCAAAACGTTCCAAACCATTGAAATCGGGTATCAGAAGTGAAGGGGTTTGAAGATATATTTCACAGGCTATCAGTATATTGAGAAGTGGTCGATCTAAGTTGGCAAGCGATTGTATGATAAGTTGAGCGCAGCTCATCAACTTGTGATGTGGTGCGGGCGCAGGGCCGAGCAGCATCAGGTAGGTCAGTACATTGGGACTAATGCGGTCAGAGTCAAATGTCGAAGACTTACAGAGCTACTGAAGTTCGAGATTTATTTACAGCTAAAAGAGTCACAAAGGGTTCAAATTTACTCAAATTTATGAATCTTTGATCATATTAACGTCCGGTAAAACGTTGGATACACTTCTTTTAAAACTATGGAATTCGAAACACAGTTGTTACGCTAGGGCTGATTCTCATCATGAAGATTATATTATATGAGTTACAAAAATGATGTATAAAAATGAAGAATTGTGTATACGGACATCATTAAACAATCAGTTTCAAATACATTAGGGAGATAAATTGACAGTATTACTGTCAATCAAAAAACATCATTGCAGGTTTTTAGTATTTATCAGAGGTTCTATTTTTAGAAACAGAAATTAAGACAACGGTAATTATAATGGTATCCACTGATGTTCATTGTCAAGTAAACCGACATTTACCTAGGTCATAAAAATTAAACAAACTGGGTGATGTATTAAAAAAAACTCAAATTCCAATTCAGGTTAATAAAAGTTTTGTTTTAATCCAGAATTAAAGAAAATATACATCTAGAGATATTCAAATAACTTTAGTCCAAAAGATAAAAGAATTGTTGATCAATCAACTATATACATAGAAAGATTTTTACAAATTGTGACACATTCCTTCAGGACTACACGAAAGCTCCTAGAAAAAGACCTAAAATGGACTCTACGTTAATGACACCAGATTGATCTTTGTACATTTAAAGCCTACTATTCTATAACCCACATGATTTATCCACACTATTTGTTGACATTTCGTTGATGCTACGGTACGATTACATTTGATGTATCAATGATAAATTGAGGGTTATCAAGTCTATTACAAAATACATAAAATCAATATTTTTCCTTGAAATCGCAGCATGCGAAGGTATTCTAAACAAATTTCACATCCTAAATAATTAACAACTTAAACCTAAATCTTTAGCTTAAAACAAGTATCAAAGAAAAGCATACGCTTATTTCATCGTTGTTATATGCATGTTTGTATTGGTCTGATTACGCTAATGAACTGAGTATATTTTATGTACTGATTATCGAAATAGCTAATTGCCATCTATTTCAAATAAAAAATATCTTACACATAATCGCCGGACCAGGGTCAGTCTGATTACATTCAAAAGAAAAGGGTAAGATACTCGGGGCAGAATGGATAAATAGAGAGGATTTTCCATCACTTGAAGTACGGAAATCCT